TTGTTCAAACGTTGCTGTTCACATCAATTATCGTAGTCTTTTTTTCAGATAGCAACTGATCTCTTGTCTGGATCGCATAAAATAGGTAAACTGATCAATTTCATTGTTCGCATTATGTAATTGTCACTTAATATTTATTTGCAGACAAATCACGCAGTCTCGTACGATTCTTAATTTAAATGACCATGGTCATGAACAACGCTGATATGATAAAGACAACAAGAAATCTTACTTGGCTTCACGCTAGAAAAGTAATTTAGTTGGGTGGAACTTCTCATGTCAAGGGAATTGTGCTCGAAAGAATGCATGTTGATTTATACCTATGCTAATCAGAGAAGAAATTTATCTGTTACATTTCAGCGTTGTCAAAGCCACACAACCTAAGTCGGCTATTTGTAAATGTTTTCGAATTTAATTAATAAAAAATGGCAAGAAAGTTATGACTTTTGTGCCGCGAGGTGGTTGCTTTAATTTCATCGAAGTGTGTGATATGTTTTTTTCGCATACCAACAAATGTCCCTCTTATCATTCATAGGAAAATGACGAAATTTTGATTGCTGGTTTGGGTCATAAGAGTTGTGCCGTCGATAATATTCCTAGTGTACACTTCAAAATCGTCAAAGTAGCCAATGTCTCATAGTCACAGTGTTGGTTTTGCTTCAAATTGTTTTGCTTGTTTTTAGAAAATAAAAAACTTTCAGTGCCATCCCTATAGAATTAACATGTGAAACGCGATGACGCCGTCGCTTGAATTGTAAATGAGGACTCTCGTCTCATTAATCACGATCTTTGACGATAGATTGTATTAATGGCTTCATATAGAATCGAATTTCTGCTGATATAATGAAATTTATCTGAAGAGAAGTTCACGTTTTGACAATTACATTGAATAGTTTCATTTCATCACCTATGAGTGGTTGCTAATTTGTCTTGAATATACAGTTGAGTAGTCACCATACATTTCTAATCTATTTCCTACTTATGAAAAAGAATGACATAAAAATACGCAGTTAGTGAGTCTAGATGAAAAAGTACCGTAGGCTATATATGAGCCCACGCCGCATCCCACATCAGGTACCTACATCGATACTTTCTTGCTGATTGTCAACCAATAATATTTTCTTTATCATCGCAATTCTTACTTTCGCTCCTCTTGTTCGTTTACGTATGTCATGTGCACTGCCATTCATGACATCAAATGTTTTTTTGAATCATTAGTAGGAAATTTCCATAAGCTTTATTTTCCACAATATACATATATATATATATATATATGTATAAATGAAGCTATTTTTTGTGTTGTTTTAATCAGAATTACAATGACACAATTATTCGATCAGAAAATAGATTATTTTCAAGTAAAGTTTTATTTCAAATGCTAAATTTCATTCTTATTTTTTCAATTTCTAGTCACTAACTAACTGGAAAGATCGACAATCTGTGATTAATTTTTTGAGTATGTATGAATGGAATGTTAATGTACGTGAGTTCTACATTTAAATGAAGAAATCGAATAGAATTCAAACATTTAATAATTTTTATTTTCATCTTTTATTTTCGTTAGTTTGCTGCTGAAGCATTTTTGACCAACGCTGGTAAATATGTTTCTTTATTTTTCTTAAATAAGTTTTTCTTTTGATCGATTCAAAAGAACATTTGAATAATCAATCAAATACAATCACTGGACTTCAAAGTAATTCAAGAGAAGGAGATCTCCAACATAAATTATCGGATGAAAGTCGAGCAGAACCAGACATATTTTCTCAAAATCACCAAGAACAAGCATCAGTAAATACTTAACTAAATAAATTTTGTTCAAAACTATTTGTTTCTTCGCAGAATCATTTATTGAATACTTCAAGTCATCCTGAAACAGCAAACAATTTTAATCAAACTACATCTACATCGAATACAGAATTGTTTGATGACCCAGTGAATCAATTATTTAGTACAAATGTAAATACAACATCTCCAATCTTTTCTGATATCAATCAATTGGATCACAGTTAGTTTTAAGTTTTTCTTATCTAATTTTCGTCAGAGATGAAAGAATTCAACTTTGTTTAAAGTCTTATCTATATTGATTATTAGTCAAGTGAAAATAAGAAACATAAAGAATGATAACATTGTTTTGCAAGAGGTGATGCGAAAGAATTTATTCTTCTAAAATAAGATCGACCAATACATAGATCTTGATAATCAAAATTAGAATAAGGTTTTTTAAAAAATTTAATATTAAAATTGCTCATCTTTGAGACGAACTGGTCTCTTGTTTATCCCAGTCTGATCAAATAAAATTATTGTCTTGCCAAGAACATTTCACCTATGATTAACTTTACACAATGAGTCATCACTAATAAAATTATTTGTGAAAAAAAAATAATCTTTTTAATAAACATTATTTAGACAAGAAACAACTTCTTGAATATATTAATTCACATATAATTGGTAAAAATCTTCGAGTCAATACTCCATGGGGATCTCGAAAAGGTATGAATACATATTTTCATTAATATAAAGAAATATATTTTTCTTCTACAGTTATCTATGCTGATTATACAGCATCTGGACGTGGTCTAATATTTATTGAATATTATATGCTGAATAAAGTCTTACCTTAGTAAGAGTAATTGTTGATTCTAAAATAAGAAATAATATTATTTTTTTTAGTTATGCTAATACACATAGCGAAAATGCTGCATGTGCATTAAAACTACGAAATTTCGTGAAGGAGCACGAAATATTATTAAAAAATGTACCAATGCAACTAATATGGATGTTGTTATTTTTACTGGATCAGGTAAATGAATAAATGTTCTTTAGCTAAATATTAAAAAGAAATAATCGACAATTTTATAGGAACAACAGGTGCTATTAGTAAACTTGTCAATGTTTTACATCTGAAAGATGAAAACGTTCGAAGTACAACTGTTGTTTTTATTAGTACATTCGAACACCATTCAAATATTTTACCATGGAAAGAAGCTGGAGTTGAGGTAAATTATTCCTAAAATCTCATCTATTAACGAATCCAAAATATAAGTCAGGTCAATGTTTTTTGAATAGCTTCTGATAAGAACATCATATAGACCTGTGGTTTTGACCATTCAATAGAGAAGACTCAGAATCATCGAAATAATTCGAAATTTAATTGGTTAGCAGTTGACTAGTTAGCTGAGTTATTGGTAAGGATTTTTGAAAATAATATTCTGAAATCATCTCTCTTTCGATCTACGCAAGGCCGACATTCGTAGTTTGTTTCCTGCGAGAGTTATAAGGCTTCTCTGAGATCCTCTGAATTGAACAATGACATTTGTTCATAGTTTCGAATTGATCTGATACTGTTATCTCAATATTTCTAAAATTCCACAATCTCAGGCTCCATATATAACGAAGGAGTTGACATGCTGGATTATTGAGATGACAGTGTCAGATCGATTCGAATCTAAAAACAAATATCACCATTCAACTCAATGCAATGAATTAACGTTGTTTCAAGTTAAGAATGTCTATCTTGCATAGATCGAAAGAGAGATGACTTCAGAATATTATTGAAAAAAAAACTCTGTCAAGAACTCACGTTACTAATCAACTGTTACCTAATCAAATGTCGATGTATTTCGGTGGCCCTGAATTCTTCTCTATTGAATGATCAAAAACGCAGATCTCCATGATGTGATGTTCTTATCAAAAATCATTCAAAAAACATTGACCGGTCTCATATTTTAGAGTCAGTAATAGAAAATTGTAATATTTATCTATAGTTTCTACGCATTCCTAATGATAAACACGGTCTTATTGATCGAAGTTTTTTAAAAAAACAATTAAAATATTATCATGATAAAGTTAAAAAACATATTATTTGTACATTTAATGCTGCCAGTAATGTAACTGGTATTAGAACTGATGTTGATCGTATTTCAAAACTTATCCATAAATATGATGGTTGGATTTTTTGGGATTATGCAGCAGCAGCACCTTATGTTAAAATTGATATGAATCCATCAGAAATGGCTTATAAAGATGCCGTTTTCATTTCCACGCACAAGTTTGTTGGTGGACCATCGACACCAGGTTAATTTTGATTTCATTGAGAAAAGAATTGAATTTATATAAAAACGATTTGGTCCTTTTTTTTGCATTCAGGTATTTTAATTGCTAAGAAAAAACTTTTTACCAATGAAATTCCATCTGAACCTGCAGGTGGTACAGTAGAATATGTAATTCCAACGCATGTTGAATACATAAAAGATATAGAAACACGTGAAGAAGGTGGAACACCCGATATTCTTGGTAGTATTCGAGCTGGCTTAGTCTTTCATTTAAAGGAATCTGTTGGTTGTCATACAATTGAAGCACGTGAAAATACATTAGTTGCAACATTTTTTGCAAAATTTCGCAATCATAGAAAACTAATTATACTTGGATCAACAAATGTTCCTCGATTAGCAATATTCTCATTTCTGGTTTATGTACCATTATTTGGTAAATATGTGCACCATAATTTTATTTGTGTTTTATTAAATGATTTATTTGGTATTCAAGTACGATCAGGATGTGCTTGTGCTGGACCTTATGTTTTAGTAAGTGAGACATGGAAAGAAATTTTTTTCTAATAATAAAAGTTATCTTTTCTTTTTTTTTAAATTTAGGATCTACTTGGTATTAATAATCAAACAGCAGAAATTTTTACAAAATTTATTACAGCTGATGAAAAGTAAGTTTTAACAGTTAAATACATTTCATAAATAATTTATATCAATTTTAGTGGTCGATTTACTGGAATTCCCAAAATTGACTTAATGAAACCTGGTTTTACTCGACTTAATTTATCATATTTTGCAAGTGATGAAGAAGTTGATTATATTTTAAATGCAATTGAATTTATTGCAAATAATGGATGGAAATTTTTACCATTAGTAAAAATTACTTTTTTTCAATAATTTCAATTGAAGAGAAATAACTTTTTTTTTGCTTGTTTCAGTATACTTATGATCCAGAAACGGCTGTTTGGCGTCCTCGTACGATGCCATCAGAAAATTATTTTTCACAATTTCATAGTCTTCAAATGATTACTTATGAAAATGGTACAATGGAAGCGAATTTTCGACAGAAACAAATTAAACTTTATGTAACTAGACTAGATTTTTGTTTCTTTAATTGAATATGTATATATATATGTGTTTTTTCCCTATAGAATTCAAATGCTCCTCACTTAATTAAAAACTCATCTTCAGATGATCCGATCGAAGAAGCTAAATCAATGGTAAATAATATACCAAAATATGTTTATGAAAATATTGATTTTCGAACTGATCCCCCATTAAATATTCCAGATGAATATCAAGATTTTATTTGGTTTGTTTTACCTAAAGAAATTATTCGAAAAATAATTATTCAGTTTGAACAAAATCAAGAAAACAATTGTAAACCAGTAATATTTCGTCCAAAAATGTACAATGAATAAATTATTAAAAATAATATCAACTTTGTTGTGTTTTTAAAAGAATTATAAAACTATTCTTAAATAAAAAGCATTTATTCATTTTTCTTCGAAATAATTGCTTTCTATATATATGTCTGCTCCAATTGTTGCATCAATGAAATGATAGAACATCACACGAAGAATACTGAATTGTACGATTATTGAAAAGTTTATTGATTCAATTTTGAAAGAAATAATAGAAAATATTACTCGATCAGAATAACTTGCAGACTAATGACGCAGCTGATTTTTTTTGTTCATAGCAAAACTCAAAGATCGAGAAGAAATCTCTTTTACGTATATCAACTTGTTCAAGCGTAACATTGCTACACTTTTATTCTATGATCTGTGATATTGAGACACTCTTATCAAATAGTAAAACAAATCCAGCAACAGATTTTATTCTGGAAATGATATTTTATTTTCCGGATGACTTCAGTGAAGTCTTTATCTAAAAAACAAATTTTATATTGAAAGTGTGTAACTGTTGGTGTAATGCATTAAATTTAAAATTTCCCTCTTCTATTGTTGCATTAATATATACTAACAATTTCATTCAATGAGACTAAACTAGGTCATAAACCATACAAATTTATGAGGATAAATCCATAAACTTGCTTTCCTTCGAAAATGTACAAAGAATCTGTAAATAGTTTATCTAACACAAGTCATGAAAACTGGACTTATTTTTAGCGGTAAAACTGGGTGTGGGTATCCGTGGATGCTTCTGTCGATATTCAGTTTACTCAAACTCACACCCACATTCTCAAGTACTGATTTAAAACAGAAATAAAATTGTTTTGTTTTGTTCGTGTTGTCTATTTGGGGCCTAATAACATTAGTGTTTTACCTGACAGTTTAATAATTATTTTCTAAAAACTAATGCTAGATATCGGATTTAAATGTTCTTAAAATTAATATAATTTACATAACTGATAGAAAAGGTATAAATCTATGATCTAAAGATGTATCTGTTGGTTTCTGTCCTGGAAAATTGCTCGAGAAGAAACCAAATTTGTACATAGAACATTTGAAGATCTTGTCAAGGTGAATGTTTCGCATGGTCAGCAGTATTTAAATCATTTACTGTTGCTGAATGTTGACCTAAAGTAAAAAGAAGTTCGTAATTCGATGATTTTGACAATAATAGCAAGAAAAAGCATTTCTGCATAACTATTACTATGATATGGAACAGGAGTATTAACTAACTGTTTTCTTTATCAACAATCTCAAATTGTAAAATTTTTCTCGTAAATCTTGAAATATGAGATTAAGAACATGTCTTGAGGTTTACAATAGATGAAGAAAACCTTTGGGACAATATTAATATACTTGTAACATCTTTAAACTCGTTCTTCTTTCTTAAAAGAAATGTTTAAAATTCTTACCAAAATAGCAAATCTTCACGTCGTGAGAAGGAAGCAGCGTTTTTCATTTGAATTTTGAGTAGAAAAAGAATATATTGTCCTACATCACAGAGTAAAAGAAAAAAACGTAAAGCAAAACTCTTTGTAAGTATCATTTCATTACTTTTTGTAGTCGAACCACAAACACGCTGATCTCATTCTTTATATTTTCTTATCTTCAAATGGAACTAAATTGTGAAACTAGCCAATACAATTTGTATTCATGTAAAAAAAAAAATTATCATTTACCTATTGGTTTACCAATTTATGATGATCATTGTCATGTTGATTTGTTTCTCAAATATCGACTAAAGAAAACTGACTTTAATAAACAATTATTCCATGGAAGAAAATTGATACTCATAGATAATCCTTATCGATTTCATCGATGGTTTCAAAATAACGAATTAAAAAATTCTAACACAACAATTTATATAACATACAGAAAACATCCAAAATAAGTGCCAAATCATTTACAACAAGAATATGAACGATTGGAAAACATTTTCATTAATAAATTAGATATCAAAACCGAAATTAAGGCAATTAGTGAATATGAATTAGATAGTATAAGTGACTGTTCATTTCATTTTACATACATTTGTTCCAATTCTTCATGAATTGAAACAGCACATCACATTCGTTGGCATTGCATCAATGCATTAAGTCATTTGGATGTTATTTCAGATTATCTGTATTATTTCACTAATTCTTGCATCGGATTGAATGCATCTAATACATTTCACGAGAATACACAATTACAATTATTTTTCAATAAATGGTTGAATGATAGATCCAATATCTTAGATATGATCGTAGTAGAAACGGATTATTCTTTTTTAAAGCCATCTATATTACAACAATAACAATACAATGTCATAATTGGCATCACATTTGCAGCACAATTAATTTTTGACACAATACGAAAGAAGAAAATCAATACAACTAAGGTAATTAATAAATCAAACAATAATATAAAAAGAAAGTATGGTACACTCTAACTTAAAATGTGTCGCATTTATGTGTCGTGAGTTATTGTGTCGGGCATCCCAGCAGAAAAATATGTGGCTCTTAGAATGCATCGTATACGAATTTGTCGCGTTCTGTTTGTTCACTATTCATTCACCGTTTTTGTTATGTACGCATAGCCGTATATAAGCAACATGGTTGAACGTAAGAAAAATAAACATTTGCACAATCATTTTTTTCTTGATTATTTCTCGGTAATTTATTAGTCGAGAAAATGCCAGTCTCGATCAGTATTCGAGAGATGACTACCATGAACCGGTCTAACGCAGACCGGGCCAACTCGAGGCTTGACAGATGTCAAGATCTAACCTGCTTGAGTTTTCAGTACAGAAATAAGTATAGTGAAATTAAATTGAAAACAATTCATAACATGCTCTTTCACAAGAACCAATAAAAAATGTGTCGTAAATCACAACACATGCGACATATTTTAACTTCATGTGTATGAATTGAATAAAAGTGAAACAAAAAGTGCTCATTTTTCTTAGTTTCTGATTTTTGTTTACGTGTAAATATTCATTTGATTTTGCTTGTCTAATTCATAACATATTAGAACAAAATAAAAACACATATTACAAAAATTTCTCATGATTACGAATTAGAGATCTTAGAAATAAGACAGTCGAACTGAAGACTCTTTCTACGGGAAACCTCTATTTTGTCAAAGATTTGTTCTATTTAACTTTTTGAAAAAAAACTTGGAAACAATACTTCTGTATAAATGTTTCCATGAAATTATTGATTTAGATATTTTATTTTTAAAATATAAGAGCAATATCAGTTGAAAGTCGCATTTATTTGGTACTTTTGCTAAATGCCAAGGTGTGACTTTCCTCATTTGTTTCTTAATTTTTGATCCTTTTTGAGACGTTTGTTTCGGGATCTTGATAAGTATTTTTTTAGAGCACGAAATTCTCTACAAAATGCACTATATGTTTCAGTTTTATATGCTCTTCGCGAATGAGATGTTGCTCGAATAAAACGGATAAAATATGGCGACTTCTTATGTTTCAATGTTTGTTGCTCCGTCATATCACAACATAGACGTCTAAAATAAGTTTCATAAACTCAGTTTGATGTGAGAAATCGATTAATATAAAAAAAATTAGATGTCAATTTTGATGATAAAATGGCCTTATGAACGAATGCTCGATCGACCCACGTAATGCTCTCTTAGTTCCTTATCAGATTAAAATCATAAATTCTACTATAGATCTCCAAACAAGAGTCTCACAGAACGAGAGAGAGAGAGAAAAAAGTTTTTTTTTTTCTATATCTAAGGAACAATAAAAGCAGTTACGAGTGATTAATACGATTGAAGAGCTCCTCTCTTTTTTTCTTCATTTTCTGTCTGTGAAAAAATATGGTAAGGCGAATCATCCGCCTTACTTTATTTTTTGTTCTTCATTTGCGATAAGGTGATTGCAGGTAACTATGAGATGGTCGATTGAAAGGCTCTTCTTATTTTTGATTATTTCTCTGTGAGAAATGCACCGATCAGATGAAGCTGAAGGAAAAAGTTTTCTTTTGTTCAGTACGTTTTCAACAGAATAATAGAATTAAAGATGATTGGCTGGATAGAAATGCTGTTCTTGGTAAAATACAACAAAGAATAAAGAGTAGAGAGATTGTGTGCATTTTTGTACGTATGCTATTATTCGAGTAATTTATAATAGTTATATAGTGCTATATATTTACAATATATTGCAGTCCCTTTGGACATCTTGAAGTTCTTTAGACTCTAATAAGATCAGAAACTTACACTCAGCATAGTAAAAAACTAACCATTGATCAAAAATACATTTATTTTTTTGGAATTTTTCTGGAACTTTAATTGAATTTTTAATTTGTTATTTAGTAGAGCATGTCATCATCTATCTTCAGTGGTTTGCGCATTTCAACCCTTGTTGAGACATAATGTCTCAAATGTAATCTTCTGTCAAAATTTGTTGGCAATTTCTATACAGTGGTCACTCATCTTTCTAATCCATCAAGTTCCGAATCGATAAATCAACAGCAAACGTACACCAAATTCAGATTTCATATTGACTAATTCATTTTAAAATCAGTTCTTTAACTCTTCCATAAGAATTAAATATTGGAGAATATTGTACATAGATATCCTTGTAAGACATACATCCCTGAAACAAATCTTTTCCCTCTTTGTGTCTTTATGCCATCAAACTTTGTATTAAATTTACTATGGAGTAGAGCTTTGACATGAAAGTTTTATTTCATTTTGGTGTATAGATTACACTGTAATATAATTCTTATGTCGTATCTTTACTCAGTAATAAATTTGATGCAAAGTATGACAGCATAAAAAGACAAAACGAAACCAGACTTTTATCTTCGGATGTAAAATGATTTGTTTCATATTATTATAGGTTTTCCATTCGTAAAAATACATGCAATTGCACGACATTGTTTTTGTGACAAATTTCATAGCATCAGTGAGCTCATTTACATATCACATCTACACTTGCATCAATCCTGAACATTTGAATTTGGTGAATTTACTTTCATATTTGTTGATTCGGATTTGAACACTTTTTTCTATCATTATCTGTGCATTTTCAAAATATTATCTAATGTATCAATAAAAAAGTGAAAAGAAAAATTACATCTTCTATATAAGTATTGATCCAACTAAAATTGTTAATTGAGCTTGATTGTTATATGTGACTAACGTTGGCCAATCATATCATTAGCGACCACCTGTGAAAACAATCCTTATTAGAAATTATATGACATTCTAAAAGGTTTAGTTTATCAAGTTTGTTTTAATTTATTTCTCTTACGTGTAAAACTGTAGTTCTTCTGAGATGTATGCATCGCTCACGGGCTAAGTTTTTTTTATAATTTGCTAACAAGAGGATTTTTCTAAGTAATAGACTACGAAAACCTATATTTTTCTAAAGATGTTTGCCATATACGTATATATGTGTTTCACTATAATCAAGCAGTGATATTTAGCTTAGAAGTTTTGAGATTTTACATCAGACAACGAGCACATTAAGATGAATGTCAAATGAAAATTATAGAATGAGGTGCTAATTTGTACTCTTACTATTGTTTGTTTGCAAGGATTCAATAGTTGGGAGCAATTTATTGATGATAACCTGCTTCAGACCCTCGAAGAATAATTAGTTCATGGTAGATTTATAAATACATAGCTAATAACTGTGTCAACTATATGAAAAAAAAAATGTTATATCATTTTTGTTAAAAAGCATTATAAGGGAACCATGACTTTTTATAGTGCTAACCGACAGCTTTAGAAAGTCGAATACTTGTTTTTTGAGGAATCTTTGGATTATTGGAGGCTGTGAAAGTGCAGGTAATTAGTATGAACTACTAGCTATATGTACACGAAATATACAGTTAATAGCTGCAACCAACAAAAGAATTTCTCCTGACTCCTTTTTTCTGTCCATTATGATCCACATCCTTGCACAGGTCGTTCACTTTATTTCGAAACGATTTACATCGAGTTTTTCTTCATCAGTGACTTATCGAGATCGGATGACTTCCATATCAGTCTATCTTACATACACTGCAGATGTTGTTATAATCATCTTAGTTTGAATAAACCAGTATCCAATAATAAAATATCTGGTAAAATTGAAGGGTGCGTGAAATATCTTTTGATGGAATACCATTTATATTTTGTGAAACAGAAACAATTATCTGGAATACATTTGTATATATGAAAATGTATTATTAGGGGTGTCTGTAACAAGCTCGAAAAACAGTTCCAGTTACATTACTAACCATGTCTTATCGGTCCTCACGTCATTTTTGTAAGTCACATGGTGTAATTGATAATGCATACGCTGAACATCAAGATCGTCTCTTTTCTATGCTATATGGATATCAACAATCCACTCGCTTTTTGTCATGTTGTTTTGTATGAATTATATCACAAATAGTACGCAAGGTCGTATCAATACTATTAGAACATTTCATAACAGCTAGCTAACTAGTAGGAGAATGTTCTTTGTCTGTATGTGATGCATCACGGCGAACTAATGGTATGTGTTGCCACATGACATCGGCGATAAATTTCGGATTTATACTGTTTAATAAAGCTGATTCAGGCTGTTTTTCAATATATTAGGGACACGTCTAACGATACTTTTTGATATATACAAGCGTATTTCAGATAATTATTCCTATTTCACAAAATATAAATGATATTCCACCAAAAAATATTTCACGTACCCTTCAATTTTATCAGATATTTAATTATCAGGCACTGGTTTATCCAAATTAAGAATATTATAACAACATCTGCAATGTATGTAAGATAGACTGATATACAAATCATCCGATCTCGATAAGCCACTGATGAAGAAAAACTAGATGTAAATCGTTTCAAAATAAAGTAAACGACCTGTAAAAAAAGTACATGAGAAACTTCCATGACAAAAATGTTAAACATTAAATAAAGCGTCACTGTACGATCTTTCATTGTTGAAAAAACAGTATTTTTCTCGCGACATTGAAATGCGTAAAATGCAATTGAAATTCTTTTATTTCAGATCATTTCGAGAGTCTCATAACAAATTATATTGGTATATGATCATGAGACCTGATCTAAATTCTGGTATTCGGATTTTGATGTATTTCATATTCGCTTGTATGATACTTGGAATTTTTTTTCGATATTTCGAAATATATCCCGACAAAGTCAATGCCTACAGATCTGGAATCAGTAGCGCACTTAGAAAGACAACAACTAATAAGGATGCTCAATATTCACAAGATTATATTAGAAACAACATCAATGGAATAGATAAAGAACTTAGCAATCATTGGCTTCGAGTTATCAGACACTATATTCGTTTTCCACTTGCTAATGGTTACGGATCTCATCAACTCTCACTACTCGCTGCTACTATATTGACATCTGGAGGAGGACCAGTAATGGAATTAGGCTGTGGTTATTTTTCTACTATCCTTCTTCATCAAATAGTTGTTGTCGAACAAAAACGTTATCTACTATCGACAGATACTGATCGTCAATGGTTATCAAAGTTTGATACAAATATGTCTTCGTCTCTCCATGAATTTCGTCATGTCAACATGACATCTGAATGGGATAATATCGGAACTAATCATCCCAGATGGTCTATAGCTTTCATTGATCATAAGCCAGGTGATAGACGTGTTATTGATGTCATTCGTTTAGCAAATATTACTGATGTTGTTATATTACATGATACAGAGACTAGCTCGTACAACTATGAGATAGGTCTCGTTCTATATCAATACAAATATCGATACAAATATTTCCCAACCAATACTGATGTGTTGAGTAAATACAACGGCACACTCTTTCACAACATACAACATTTACTTGAACTTACACTCGAAATGAAATTACCAAAAATTGGTTCATAATAATTTTTAAAAACTTGAGAGAGTAGGTTTTACATATAGGTTTGGATTGTTGAGGATATAACGAGTACACTTAACAGCCACATATACTCACGCTACCCGAATATTCTCATGTTGACTGAGGATTCTATCTTCTTCATGTCATTTTTCATTTTTAGCTAGCTAATGGTGAAAATAAAACGTGTTCTTCTTGAAATCAATAGCAAACAGTAAAAAAGTTCAAAATGTTCATTATGCACTGCAGTTACAGTAGATGATTTCTCAGACAAATTAATGTATTTATGTATCAGATCGGTCTATAACATTCAATATACTCCCTTATGTGATATATTTAAGAGCAACTAAATATCATTAACTTTATTTTTGGCTACAACAAAATCCACGAAGTATATTTGTTAACAATAGTTCAGTATTGCACATAGAGTCTGGAACTTCATGAATGATGTTCATATAAATCCAATGTAAACTTGATCAGAACAGATTTTTTTATTATAGTTACATATGAAGCTTTTATTCAACAAGCATAAAATGAAATCAAGAAAGTAAAAAGCTGTCATGTGAAAATACATGAATGCAATCGTATACTTTATAGCTGGAAGTCGTCTAAAAATTATACGCTATGCTTTCGATCATGAAAACGATTTGTCGTAGCAAGACTGAGCAAATAAATTTAGGAGCCGGTGATTAAATTGAACTAAGATTTTGATTAGACCTCTCTCATCGAACATTTGACGAGCACGTGAGAGTACATCGAGCACGATACTAAGACTTCTTCAGGCATTCCATTCACTCCTAGATTTAGTATTCACAAACATCATGTATGAAGTAATCGTTCCATTGTTTCATTTCTTCGATTGGTTGTCTTGAATTTCAAAAGTCACTTTTGTAAAAGAACTGAAAATTCCAATGAAGCATGTTTACGACGCATTTCCATGGATAAATAACAAGTTAGATCGAGTATAAAGATGATGGACGAGATTCTGTTCCATAAAGCATAATTTTATCTGGTGGACCATTGAACAAAAATTTCCCTCTTGTAAATCCAGTAAAATAATCCTTCCGGATATAATGTTCTTTGAGAAGTTTGAGAAACGATCGGATGGATAATCAAGAAAAATATTATTAGTCACATCATGTTGGCATTGGAGATAAATGACATTAACTATCGAATGGTACCCAATGGAGAATAATCTCGTCGAAGAATTGCTTATAACATAATGTTTTGCATCGACGACATTATTACGACATACTATGTTATTTGCATTCTATGTACTTATCTGGGTGTGGGTGGGTGTGAGTATTACTAAAAAGGACACCCACACCCACACTTTAAGCTTTGGCCAATGCCATAAAGGAAGAATGGAATGAGTTGCCAAATGAACTGGCTTACAATCTTATGAAAAGTATGGAAACTCGTATTCAAGCGTTAATCGATTCATCCGGTGATTATACTCTTTACTGAAGGACTCTTTAAAAATTATCTTTGTGATTTGTATTTAATAACTTGAAATTAGTTTAAGTAACGAATAAGAAAAGTATGAACTCTCTCATGATAACTGACCACAATTCTTTCATTTATACCCATCGTTTTTGGACTAACCCGACTACAATAAGCAGAGTAAGAGTCAAATTCAAAGTCGTTGTGACGTCTTATCGGTTTCTCATGAAACTTATATCGGAAATGTAAGAACAACTAGCGTCAAAATGATGGATCAACCACATGAAGAAAGTCTTCAAGTATTGAGATTGAGTTCACCAACGTTGAAAACAGTATTTGACTTTGATCACATGCGTTCTGAGAGTTTCATCGGAAACTCCATTAAATGCTAGCGTATGAAATATAGGAGATGTAGAAGATACAGAGATATAGGAGGCAGAGGCGGCGGAGCCATTAGGCTTGGGGAGGCTCGAGCCTCCCCTAAAAATAGTAAGGGGAGACTTGGGGAGGCTCAAATATTTCAAAATATTTCAAAACATTTTACAAATATAATCGGACGTTTATGCATTCTTAGTGAGAGCTCTTTGTATAAGAATTGCTTCGTGTTTTTCTGAAGGATAAATTCCTTCAGACATTAGCTAGCCCATGAGTACCACTCAGAGTTACTAGATCTTCCGGATTTTGAAAGTTTTTCTGGATTTTTGGGATTCCAATATTTTCTATCTCGTCGCTCAAATTTGTATAAATTCATTCATGTACAACAGTCTAGGAATTTCTCTCATCAAAACTAGACTAATTGAAATTTATTCATTCGAACAGCGAATATTGTACTAGAAAGCAACGTATAAATTAATGCGAAATGTGTAATTGATAGTCTCTTGTAATTGAGTTAACTATGTCTTGATTTTGATGTTTCACTGTTTTATGCAAATATATTTTGTGGATATAAAGAGTATCCTTATTCATAGTCTGTTCGAGTAAAACGTACTTTAAGCGATTAAAAATTACCCTAAAAAATCTTTCCGGATTTCGAAAAGAAAATTCTGAAATTTTCCGAATTTTGAGATTTGCATTCTGGATTTTCGAGTTTACATCTGGCAACCATAGTACCACTGTACTTTTTTCAAAATATGTTGATACATTACTAATAATGACTTTTTGATCGAGAAGATTAGTCTATCCATTCAACTCGTCTGTAGTTTCAGTGTGTCTTGGTCGACTATAAAAAATTTCCTCTACTGCAGTTTTATAACAGATTTTTGAAATAATAAATGAACAGTAATCATATAACAGACAGAATGTATACCAAACAATGTCAAACCACATCTCTTTAGAAATGAAAATATGAATATATCTGCTGAAAATCATGGAGGTGTTGCAATGAGTTCAAACATCGTTAATTAACCTAACTGCTGGTATTACTAGTATCCGTTCTCAGCTTGACATGAACACACTAGCTGATCATTTTTCGACAATTAGTTTAGAAATTAATTATGGTATAACGAATGAAAACTTCAAACTAACTAGTACATATTCAATGTAGTTATAAATCGCATAAGGACATATCTACAATAAGCATGTCAAAATGAAATAAAAATCATGTAATTATTTCTAATATTCATACAGAAAAATTAGATAAACTGAGCGTGTACAGTATCTGCTTTGATTTTATTTCAAAAACCAGTTGAAAATTTTTTTCTGTGATTATAAATAGTATTTTCTAGCTCTGTATTGCCTATTTACTTTGTATTTATGCTTATTATGTAGATATTGATCATTAACTAATTAGTATCGGAATTTTAAAAAAAGGCAGTTAGGCAAAAATGCTTGTAACTTTGTAACGAAGATAGTTAGAGATCTGGAGTTTTCATTATCTGAAAGAAGGAATCGGGGGACGCTACCGGTCTCTTCTTTCGAATAATGAAGACCTCAGGTCTCTAGCTATCTTCGGTACAAAGTTATAAGCATTTTACCCAACTGCCTTTTTTTAAAATTCCGATACTAGAAAAGTTAATCCAGCAGCAAAATTTTTTCATGATTTTTCAACTAATGAAATAAAAGACCACAGATATACGTTTTCAACAGAGTGAGATTACAAAACTGGAAATTGGTCAATTTTTTATTTTGTCTTTCACCATTGTATCAGAAAAATTTTGAGCCTCCCATAGACTCAAATCGCTCCGCCGCCTCTGATAGGAGGTATAGGAATTTATTTTTTCGAGCAAGGATCAGCAAGTGGCACCCGTATATTTTATGAATAGATGTTTAAATCAAACACTATTGAATGATTAGCTGTACCAGTTAATCAATATCTCCAATATATCATATATCTCATACGCTATTATTTGATGGAGTTTCCGAGGAAACTCTGAGAACGCATCATATATTGACTTTGAACTCAATCTTTATTTCAGTTAATCGAGTTCGGGTTGGTGCTTGCGATCAGTTTTTCGAGCTCTATCTGTGATAAAAATTTGGTGGAAAATGATTGAACTTTACCTAGACTTTCACATGTCCTGGGACTTTTGACGAGTACTGTAATTAGTTATATTCGTCAAAGTCATAAACAATCATGTTTATCTGTATCTGTTCATAATTATTGTAAAACACGTTTTAGTACTGTTTATTTAATGTTAAACACATTTGTTCTGGCTTATAATGAATTACCATCTCTTTTAAATAATAATCAACGACAAAGTTATTTAAAAATTAACTACACTGAATTAGAACAATTAGCAAAATATTTAAAACATTTTCATGATGTTATTGAAAAGCTTAGTTATGAGCAAACACCAACAATATATTTGGTGATTCCGTACAAGCAGTTATTAATTAATAGATCAAAAAAAACTTGTTAGCGCAGCTCCTACGGGGCCAAAATGTGGAACTCACATAGCTTCTTTAGCCTAATTATACTGATATAAAATATGTAAAGTGAAAAAAACTGTACCATATTACAGTTGTTTTCCAACATCATCGATCGGCAGAAATATTATCTACTTTTCCTTCTTGAGTCTTAAAAAAAACTTTTTGCTTTCTTTAGAAGCGCCCTATTTTTGTTGCTATTCATTCATTGCTTTTTTTCGTATTTCTTTTGAATTCTACTTTTGAATTTAATTCTATTATCATTGCAATCATTTATTCAACCGGCAAATATGCCTCTTACACATACATTTAACCTACAGCAAGTATCAATGAACTATTATATATCTCGATCAGGTCACAACACTAGCACTGTGTGAGTTTTTTTCAAATTAATAACTTGATCAATCGATGATTTCTTATGATCGTTGACGTCTTAAATACGTATTTTTATGTGGACAAAAATCCAAAACTGAACTTACAGGAATATTAGCATACGAATGTTATTAATTTCAACTTTTCCACAATACTCTGGCTTATACCAGAGTAGTCAAAGTTTCTGTTCATTTTTTGCACTGATTTTTTTCTACTATTGCATTGAAAAAAGAATTGTATTTCTCGGTTGCTAGTGTCTGTAATGGAGGGGGGGGGGGGGGGGCCCCCAAAATCGGCCCTAAAACTACACCCCCTCTTTTTTTCGCAAATAT